ATTTGTGTTAGAATGCTACTGTGAAGATGCTGCTGAAGCTGGAAGAAAGTCATTACCTACAGAGAAGACATAGTCGTTTCTAAAAGAAACTAAAAAGAGATAACATTTCGCAAATGCACTCAGTATTGCGCCTGTAAATAAGTATGGTGGTGGCAGCATTTTGGTCTGTGAATGATTTGCTGCAGGATGGACTGTTGCACTTTAACAGATATAAGTAATAGCTCCAGATAGACAATAACCCTCAATAGTATTCATGCATTTAGTTTGCAGGAATAATTTTGCTAACACAGGAAAGTAAGCATGATTTGAAATCAGAAAAAAAAACTATAATATCATGTATATTTTCATGCTGTTTATGTTGAAAGCCCTGCACATAGGCAACATGTATATGTGTGATGTGTCTCAGTTTAAGAGAGCTCACCCAGCAGTGAGGTAACCCTCCAGGTAACCAGCCAGAAAAAATGTAGTTTCATCACCCTGTGCAGTTCCTCCAAAACCCGCCCTGATCTCCAAAACACCCCATCCAGAGAGCAGCAGAGTGTCATTGAAGTAACCGTAGGCGCCACCATCCTTCACCATCACCCCCTCCTTCAGGATCACGCTTTTCTGGGCAGCATCCCAGTACACCGTGGCCTCTTGGAGCTTTACCATTGTAGCACGATGGAAAGGGTTACAGGGTTGAGGTTAGATAACACATTATATAATATAATGTCATGACACCATTGGAATAGATTTTTGAAAAACTGTAGTCTTTTATTAATGCTCTGTTTTATCAAATAACTTATGTAAGTATTCCACAACTTTAATATGTATAACCTGTCGAAAACCTTTTAAAGTCTATTTCAAGGCTTCACATGAATCTGCATATATTAGAATTGGGAAAAAATCTTTTTTATATCATAGAGATATTACAGATTATTCAACAATTTTCTTATTTTATGTAGTAAATGACAGTTGAAAAAATTTAAATCAAACTGATGAGTAGTTTTGTAAATAAACTTATTTCGTTTTCTTTGAAAACAAAATATATATAAATATAAAAAAAGATTATGAATATAAACCACCAAAAATAGTAAAAAAGAAATTCTAATATAAATACAATGTGTCTAATACATTAGCCATTTCATGTTTTGGAAATCAAAGACTTTAAATGAATTTAAAGCATGTTAAACAGGCAAACATTTCATAACTCACGGTATTGCACCTTGTTCAATGATCTCCCAAATACATTCAACATCACAGCCATAGACCACAGCAGGACGCATAAAAAGAGGCTTAGTTTCCCCATCACAGGAAAACACAAACGACGATTTTAAAAGCGATTGTTGCAAAGAATTTAAGATGGTAAACATAGGTTAACAATATTACGCTACTAAGTTTAACGTCTCAGTCATTTTCGGGAGAAAATCAAAAAATGTACCACCCCAGATGGGACTCGAACCCACAATCCCTGGCTTAGGAGGCCAGTGCCTTATCCATTAGGCCACTGGGGCTGCATAGCATTGCACGGGAGACACATCAATTTTAAAGAAATACTAGATGACATCGAGCTTTGTGTTGTATTATTTGTCTTTTCAGTTATTGTTGACTTTGCACATTAAAATGAGTGCATCTGTTTTGGAATACTTGTAAAATAAGCGATTGGATGGATGTTTCGTTTTGTAGTTTTATGGCCCGTACCATTTCTATTTTAAAACGGGGATTTTTGAGAAGTTAAAACGTAATAATGTGTATGACCATCGTGCAAAGTAGAACTATGAATACAATTTTATAACTAAGGTTTAAAAAGTCTATTCATACGTTATAGTTTAGTGCCAGAATCGGGTCACATTGACGAAACTTCCATATCGAAGCTTTTACATTTTTTTCAGTAATGGGAACTTCCGCGCATGCGCAGTTGGGTCCATGTCTGGAGAGGAGACTTTAAACCATCACATTTCAGTAAATACGGTGTATGGAGGTAAATATATACGTTATTAAACTTTTAGGCTACGCGATTAGAGCCAGGTCAGTTTACAGTTCAGCGCTGATGTGAGTTAGTATCTCTCGGGACGCCTTCATAATTATCTAAGGGCGCTTTGTGATTCCCTGAAGGGGATTGGTGTCGTTGGCAACGGTAAACACAGACGGCAGCATTTAAACATCTATCACCGTTGCACTGTCTCGTAGGATCTGAAAAAATCACTGATGCCGCTGTTTGGAAGTACGTTCAGTCCGAAGAAGACGCCGCCTCGCAAATCTGCATCTCTGTCCAGCCTTCATACGGTGAGTGACCATAAGGGGTAACAAAGTTTGACATAGTAGGATAAGAAAATATAATTTTTTGTGCAAAAGCATCACCATGATCACACCCTTCCCATTGTTAAACATGGGAGTGGCGTCATTATGCTGTGGGGATGTGTCTCTTCAGCTTGCATAGGAAAGCAGGTTAGAAAGGAGGTGGTCTGATCACAGGAGACCAATGATTATTTGGCCTGCATGCAAGACTGCTCATCCTGAACTCACCATCCACTTGGTAAAACAGGGTGGTGGCAGCATCATGCTACTGGGATGCTTTTCTTTTGCAGAACTGATCAGATTTAAGTTGAAAATGGATGAAGATAAATCCACGACAATCCTAAAAGAAAACTGGCAAAGAACTTTGGGGAAGGTTCTCCTTCCAGCAGAACCATAAAATAAAACCAGAAATTCAATGGGGTGGTAGATTGTGTTAAAATGGCCTAGTCAAAGTACAGCCTAAATAAAAGACAGAATCTTCACTGATAGACATGCCCCAAAAGACTTGCAACAATAATTAGTCTAAAATTGGGTCTGTGAAATAAATTAATTAATTTAAAAAAATAATAATTGGGTCTGTACACAGTTTTTTCTCTTATTTGTCATGCATATAAACAAAGTGATCCCTTTAGCACAATTAGGGGCAATTAGTCTGATTGTAAATCTTGTTATTTTTATTTTGTGTTCAAAACTTTTTAAAAATGAGTATGTTATCATTTCTAGCATTATAATATGAATGTGTTTTTTGTGTTTTAGTTGGATCGGTCAACAAGAGAAATAGAGCTTGGTCTTGAATATGGACCACCTGCAATGACCATAGGAGGCCAGAGCTGGAAGTTTGAAGACGGACAGTGGATAACAGGTGAGAATAACTTTTATTGTTCTGAAATCAGACATTTTTAACTGACTGTGTCCTGTTTGGACGTGAAAATACGATTTTCATGTGTTTGTTCAACCAGAATCTGGAGGAAATGCTTCTAGTAGGGAGGTGCACCGGCTTAAGAAAAAAAATTTACAACTAGAGGAAGAAAATAACCTCCTGAAAGCAAAGATTGAAGTTCTGATGGACATGGTGAGACCTTGTTTATTCTTCTTACAACACCTAATAATCGCGTCTTCATCTTTGATGCTTGACAACAGATCAAACGAAAAATCAAGAGCATTTTTGATGCTATTGATTCAAGTAGAGTGAACAAAATTTTGGTGAAAAAGTTTTAATATTTCTTTAGGCAAGAAGGTAGGGGTGTCACGATACAATTTTTTCATTTCCGATACAATACCCAGGGATTAAATATTCGGTCCCAAGGCTGGATTTCCGGCTCATAGCGATTGCTATGTGATCGTAGCATAATATAAATGCTATATATACTGTAAATTTAGACCCCTGCAAATCCCTTCCAAGGCTTTATAATGATTTTTTTGTGTTACCCAAATGCAAACACTTTTGATTTATACAAGTAATTCACCTGACTGAATTAATAACAGATTTATTGAAATTAATTATCACATTTTTTCTTTCTAGTTGACTGAAACCACGGTGGAGTACCATCTGATGGAGAAAGAAATCGAAGATATGAAAACTCAGCATCGAAGAAAAAAATAAGGGTATAGCCTAGTTAGATTAAATTAAATTAAAAGGTTTTGCTGAATTGCCTTTTTTAATTTTATTTAGAAATAGTTTTAATGATGTACATACTTTTTTTTTCCTTTTTTACTTTTCCTTCATTCCTTTAGGCATTTTTTTTTTCTCACATGAGGAATTCAGCTTTTAACAGCCAATGTGGCTGCAGTGTACTGGATTCACTCACTTCCTGTTTAGGTTCTGTATCCCATTTGTTTTATCACTTTTTTGTATCCGAGATGTTTATTTTAATATGCAAACTATTTTTATGCACCTTTAATCTCTTTTCAAACTCATTTATTGTTCTCATTTAATTTTTTTTCTATGTATAAATTAAAAAAGTTGGACAGACATTTTTCATATTCGTTCCGTATTTAATGTTTTTTTTTTTCTTTCTCGGCCTTAGGAACAAAAAATTGAGAGCTTAAAAGAACTAATGCATTGTAAGAAAAACAAAACTATTTATCAGTAATATTTAGAAAGCTCAGTATTATGCACATTGCTTGAAAAATACACACACACACACACACACATATATATATATATATATATATATATATATATATATATATATATATATATATTGCAGAATAGAATTTGGAATTAAACATAAAATGCGTATTTAATTTATTTATATTCTTTTATCCAGGGTATTCTGGGGTAATGAATTACTATGGAGAGAAGAGAAGTTAATCACCTAGAAGTCTGCTTTTGCCTTGTTGTGCACCAGGTTGTGATTCCTGTCCTAAGAGTTTGGAGTTTATCAACTTCTAGAGGTCAACACCTGCATAAGGAAACAGTAGAGAGAGTTGACAGTAATAAGTTCCTTGGAGTGCAGATCTGTGTTGATCTCACCTGGTCAAATGCTCATTAAATGGGCCCTAGAGACATCGCATCTCTGGGAAAAATGAAATAAACATCATTACCTACTACCATTCTCTCCATATTCCACTGCGGGGAAAAGAGTTTGGAGGTACAGATTCTCAGTGGGGCTGCAGCTGCAAATTGAAGTTGAGGTGTTCCTGCATAGGATTGAAAGAAGATCTAAAAGGGTCCCTGATATTCCCTGTATTCTGCCCAGGATCCATTAATATACGACCACAGACACAGGGTGCTAAATGCTGTCAAAGACTTCACATTCAGTCCAGAAACCTTTTTATTAATAGATGTTTGAACCGAAGATAGCCTTTATGCAAACATCTGAACATAATGCGTTTGTTCCCTAGTCCTTTACCGCAAACAGGAGGGAAATGTTCTCTAGTCCAGGGGGGGGCCACTGTCTCTGGCCCTAAATATCAAAAGCACAAGTTTGACAAATTGCCAATAAAATATTTTTAGATGTTTAACTGTTAAGTCTTGTATTTTCTATTCCATTCTATTTTATTCTATTCTATTCTACTAACTCTTGATGCAAAAAGGAAAATGAAATGTTAATTTTAACTCATATTTTTAACGAGTTGTTCTAAATGTTAATAATAGCTACAGAGATCTTCTGTTGCTGTCTGTTTTGCACCGGTTTTGAAGAACCCTCTCACTGTTGTTAACAATCCTCTGACGAAGATACTCACTTTTTTCGATAACGTTCTTCATGTTATGAGGAACTATTGATGAAATCATCTCCAGACGTTCAGTTTAGGCAACTTTTGAAGCTTGACCATGACCTGGATGACTGAGAATCTTCACAGATGCGTCTCCAGAGGTTCTAGGCGAGTCCCTAGAAGAAGAAGAAATCACACTCTCTACAACAGACTCACAGAAAATGTGCAGCATCTTGAGGGGAATGGCGTCCTAGTGGTTAGGGCATAGAGCTTGGAATCCTGGGGTTCTGAGTTTGAGCCCCTCTCCCGCAAACTGCCCCCCTGGGTTCTCTGAGCAAGACCCTTAACCCCTGATTGTTCCCTGGGCGCCCCACGATGGCAGCCCACTGCTCCCCAAGGAGATGGGTTAAATGTAGAGGTAAATTTCTCCAATGTGAGATCAATAAAGTTCAATAAAAAAAAAAGAAATCTTGCTGCAATCAGTGAATTACCTAAGATTCCTTAGTAAATACACTCTGCTCTGTCCCTTCCTACAGCTTTATAGCTGCATCTCCAGTCCAGTTTGTTGCCCAGGTGAACACCACCAAGATATTTACACTCCTCAACCACCTACATTTCTTCTCCCATGACATTGATAGAACTGAACTTGTTCCTGTTTCTTCCAGGTGCGAAGCTAGATGGGGGGCCTGGGGTGGCCATGGCCACCCTTAGCCAATCATTGGTCACCCCTACCATTTTTTTTTTTCTCTCAAGTGGAATATTCAAAACGTTTTAGTTTTATATTTATTAACAATTACTTGACAAAAACACTGTGATTAATTATGCAAATCAATATGCCAACATTAGAGATTAGTTCAGAATTAATGCTCTTTCAGAACTAGATTTTGTGTTGTATGCGGTAAAGAGAAAATTATGTGTCTCTGCAAGTCATCTAAGAGTCTTCGGTGAAATCAGATACTGTCAATAACAATTTTAATAAAAACCTATTAAATTATCAATTTATGTAGATATTAGTACTTCAATTTAATGTAGAATGATATTGATAAAAGTAGGTAAGTAATGACGATGGGAAAGATGTTCGCTCTAGAACTGAAACCTCAAAGAATTTTATCCAATATAGCTTTTATCTAGACAGATGTTTAAATATATGCATCTATTTGTTAGCAAAGGCTATAGGAAACTTTAGTTTGTCTTTATTTAGAAATGTGGACATTGTGCTTGTTCCTGTTGGAGCTGTGTAGAGTGACCCTGAGGTTCTGGTGCCTATCCACTTTTTGCCACCCCTCAGTATACATTGGTTAGTGCCTGGCCACCCTTATAAAAATTTTCTGGCTACGCCTCTGGTTTTTTCTGAAATCTTCAATCATCTTCTGTTTTGTTGACATTCGGGTTCAGATGATGGTTTCCACACCATTCCAGAGCATATCTGACTCCAGCTTGATAAGCAAACTGCAGGGGGTCCTTGTTTTCTTCCTTACAGGTGAACAGAATTCTCTTCAAGACCTTCATGAAGTGGGATGTCAGGTCAACAGGTCTATAGTCATAAGGCCTGTTGGCTGTGTTTTTCATTATGGATACTCATCAGTAACACTGATTCACTTGCGATTGATTCAGTCACAGGTAAATAAATAATTATCTTACAGTTTATTAAATAATTTAAGACAAAGCCAAAGATTTTTATAGAATTCAGCTTCGGCATTTTTTTATGAATGAGCTGCGGGGCTGGTCCCTCCCTATCTGATTGGTGGATTCTCAGCTCTGTCGCTGTGCGGTGATTGGTTTCTTCATCAGTTCTGCGCATGCGCCGATAGCAGAGAGTTTGCTGACAGCGCGAGAGACAAAATAGTTTCATTAGCCTTTTATTTGGACGCCTATTAAGGCGCAGTGTTTGCCGACAGGCTTCTCTTTCAATCCAGTGGATGTTTTGTTAAGTTTTTTTTTCTCTACTGTGCCTTTACCTAAAAACAATGCCGCGCGGAGGTGAGTATTATTGAGGAGAATGTATTTGGCGCTGCCACTTAATGCTGTATGAAAGCCGCACATGTTTAGCCGTTAGCGTGCTAAGTGGCTAACGGAGCCTCAGAAAACGGGACCTCGGGTATCATTTAGGATGGAAAAGTAAAATTCCAGTAGCGATACAAATGTCTAAACCTTAATGCGCGGATAAGGTGAACCCAATACATTCCTTTAGGGGCCAAATTTCTCCCTTTTACCGTTTGTATTTAACTAGTGTTAGCATGTAAAGCTCTGAATGCGTTAGCTCACATGAAGTCTGTTGGTTGGCGACCCCTAGTGTGTAACAGTGGTATTACATGTTGTCCAGACACAGCACCGGTCAGCTTGATCTGAGCAGGTCAGCAGTTTGTCCCTCCTAAAGTCCATTATTGTGAAACATCTTTGCTATATGGCTCACAAAATCCAGAGTGAGCTGGATGTATTTAAATCGACCTGAAAATAACATACTATAATCGTCAGGATAAAGTGTCCATTTATTTTAGTTAAAAATTTTGATTTCTTGTAATTTTTTATCTGGTGGTAGAGATTTGTTAGGCTCATTGATATTCTGAGTAATACCTAAATTAAAAGACACAATTGATGTGTCTGAAGAAGTATGACTTAAGATCATACTGTTAAAATTTAGTCTAAGGAAGAGGAGGCTCATGGTTTACTTATTACACTAATTTTATGAAACATTGGTCTATAAACGATCAATTTGTGTTGGACTTTTGTTTCTGAAATGGTGTGTGGTTAAAAACTTTACCTTTGTGAATCACCAGCTTGCACTGAGTTGTTGATTTGATGCAATCCTTGGCAAACACTGGTTGTATGTGAACAGGAGAACCCCCTCCCTTTGAGAGCTAGAATCCTCCAACAGATCCAGAGAAAAAAAACACCCAGTTGGGGCATGTGGTTTTAAAGGAAAATTAAAGGAAATTCAAACCCCTCATGGGTCATACTTGTAAAAAGTAATGTTTTTAAAGCCCTACGACACAAATCCCTCATCAAATACACTCATTGGGAGTGGTGGCCTAGTGGTTAGTGCATAGAGCTTGGAATTCTCATCTTGTGAGTTCAAGACTGCCTCTCTGGCTCTCTGAGCAAGACCCACGATGGCACCTGACTGCTACCCCAGGGGATGGGTTAAATGCAGAGGTAAATTTCTCCAATGTGATTTCAATTAAGTTCAATTATTATGATTCAAATCAGTTTATTTATATAGCGCCAATTCACAACACACGTCATCTCAAGGCACTTTACATTTCACCATATCATACAGTCAAATGGATTAAAAGTTTTCTATCTAATGAAAACCGGTTGATTGCATCGACTCAGATGCAAATCCCTCACACTAAGCACGCTTGTAGTGACAGTGGAGAGGAAAAACTCCCTTTTAACAGGAAGAAACCTCCAGCAGAACCAGGGTCAGTGTGAGCGGCCATCTGCTGAGGCCGACTGGGGTTCAAGGAGATAGAAGCAGAGATACAAAAAGCAACTGTAAAAGGCGGCCCCGTCCAGGAATTGTTAGAGGTTGAACTAACAGATTCTCCAGAGTGGGAGACAAGGGATAGAATGATGAAATGGGGGTCCCTATGTTCTCCAGAAGTCTAAACCTAAAGCAGCATGACTATAGAGATAGCTCAGGATAACCCAAGCCACTCTAACTATAAGCTTTATCAAAAAGGAATTTTTTTTAAGCCTACCCTTAAAAGTAGACAGGGTGTCTGCTTAACGGACTAAAACTGATAGTTGGTTCCACAGGAGAGGAGCCTGATAGCTAAAAAAAATCTGCCTCCCATTCTACTTTTAGAAATTCTAGGAACCACTAGTAAACCTGCAGATTGAGAGTGAATTGCTTATTCTTCGCTAAAGATTAAATTAAGCCCGGGGAGAAAAAAAAAATCTTATAAATTCATCAGTGAGTCAGTGAAGGGTATGTAAGAATGTATAAACATGGACTTTGTTGGATCACTTTAAGGCTTTTTAGTACATTTCTGGAGCTAAGATTATAAACCAATATGTTCATAAAATTTGTAAAGCGCTCCTATATTAGCTTGCAGGTTTATCTCCTGCCTGACTGTTCTGCCCTGATCTTGAGTGATTTCATACACAATGACCCCGTCCATAAAATTTACAGGAAAAAAGGGCCACAAAGGGAGAGGGAAGCAGTTCAGCAACCCGGAGGAGATTGATCGACAGATGAGACTCCAGAGGGAGTTGGTGAGTGACAGATGTACATATAGGTTATCCTTTTAACCTCTTCTGCAGTAGTGTGATGTTTATGTTTGGGTTTAACAGGAGGAAAGGGGTGGTGCAGAGAAGGGGAGCTCAGAGTCTGAGGAGGAAAGCAGCAGTGAAGAGGAGTTGGAGGTGAGTGATTGAGGTTTGTTGTTGTGGTTTTGCTAACTGGTAAATCTGTTTTGAAATCCCTGAAATGAAAAGGGGAGTTTCAGTATCATAAACCTTTAAATTCGAGCTGTAACAATTTGTTTTTACACACAGTCTAAGAAGAGGAGTGGTGTGGAGGGGCTCATAGAAATTGAGAATCCAAACCGGGTTTCCCAGAAAAGCAAAAAGGTCACAGAAATCGACGTGACTGCCCCCAGAGAGCTGTCCCGTAGAGAGAGGTGGGTGTCCTACTGAGGAGGAATCTTCTTTTTCAACTTTTACTATTGAGTCATCTTCTTTCCTGTGTTCCTCAGAGAGGAGATAGAGAAGCAGAAAGCAAAGGAACGTTACATGAAGCTCCATCTGGAGGGTAAGACTGAACAGGCACGAGCCGATTTGGCCCGACTGGCCATCATTAAGAAACAGAGGGAAGAAGCTGCCAAGAAGAGGGAGGAACTCAAGAAAGGTAATGCAAACCAAAATTAGTATTTTGTTTTCTGAAGCCCACCTTGTGCCTCACTTTTTAGAAATGGAAATATTCACATATATTTTGTTATGGCTAAAAAGATGTCCTGCTGCTGATTAACTAGAAAACGATGGTTGCCATCATTCTACGGTTTAAAATTAGTGATAAAAGCTGGTTTGATTTGTGCTAATATTATATCTGGTCAATACATATATATCATATCAGAAATAAAAAACTTGTATCGGGACACCTGCTATTTGCCACAACAACATTTTTAAAAAATATTTATGCTGGGTGTGTTGTTATCCCTGCCTGGGGTCTGTCTGCACAGAGTCTGCATGTTCTCCAGGTTCATCCATAGATTCTGTCCACATCTCCAACTTCCTCCCACAGTCTAGAAACAATGTAAACTCTAGCTTACAGTAAATAAAAACATCTTCAGGCATAAATAGCACATGAACGATTGAGTGCATTTCATTAAAATAGAATGAATAAAACAAAGGGAAACTAAAGTTATGAGTTTTAAGGAATGTTTTTTTTTAGAAGAGATGTAACGATGTGGAACAGAACGCCATCCTTCTGGGCCTGAAGCGAAAAGCTGCACACAAAGCATTACTGTATCTGTTAGCTGTTCATAACCAAGCCACTGTTCCAGCTCTCAGTCATTCTGCCGCATGCGTCACTGCCGTTTTTTTGATGACACCTATTTTATGCAATTGCGCTTGAAATTATTACATAGATCATCAGTATTAATGTTTTGGTCAACAAATACTTGAAAATGTCAATATTGACTCATCAACAGTTTAATCAGGGTTACTGTAGGTCATTAAAAACCTTTAAAAGTCATTACGTTTTTTTTATATTAAAGCCTTAATTAGGGCTGGGCGATAATTCAATAACGATATATATCGATCGATAGACATGGCAAGGCAAGGCAAGGCAAATTTATTTGTATAGCACAATTCAGTACAAAGACAATGCA